CACCTTGGTCATTTCAATGAGGAAACTTCAGAAAATACAAAATTCAGGGTGGCCCTGGCAGGTGTGGATCAGTGAATAGAGCGTCAGCCTGCAGAATGAAGGGTCCTGGTTTTGATTCCGGTCAAGGGCATATATCTCTGTTGGGTTGCAGGCTTCTCCCAGCCTGGGCCCTGGTCAGGACATGTGAAGGAGGAAATCAATTGATGTGTTTCTCTAAAATTGATGTTTCTCTCTGTCTTTCCCTCTCTCTTACCCCCTCACTAAAAATCAATGGAAAAATATCCTTGGGTAAGGATATATAACAAAAACAAAATTCAGGGTTAAAGCATGAAATTTTCAAATCTGGGTGCCTTGGTCTTGTACCTGACCTGGGGACAGGTCAGCTCCAGGCCTATTCCCATCTGTGGCTGAGGGTCTGGGATCTTCCTCCAGGGATCTTGATTGATGGGAGTAAAAGGAAGAGGAAGGACCAAGAAACGAAAGACTAGTGCAGGCTGAGTATTTTCATCTGTGCTTTGAGTTTCTGCTCTGTAATGCATTATACCTCTGTCAAGGAAAAGTCCAGAAATACTTTTTCTCTAATAATGAGTCAGAAATAACATTACTTAATATGTTTAATTTTTTTTTCAAATTTTATTTTTTATTACTACCTCTTGTTCATAAAGTTTCAAATGATATGCAAGTGTGTAGAGGAGAAAGTCCCCTTCACTTGCCACCCACCTGAAGCTCTCAGTCCTGGTCCTGTTGAGTGTTGTGGGTGCATATCATTTTTTCTGCATTTACACATATAATTGATTTTCCTAAATAATTTGTGTCTTGTTTTTAAACAAATGGGATTTTATTGCATTTTCAGTTATTTTAGTATTGAAAATATTAGAGATCTTTTCACTTTAATAAACATTCTGATCCCTCTCATTCTTTTTTTAATATATTTTTATTGATATCATAGAGGGAGAGAGATAGAAACATCAATGATGACAGAAAATCAATGATCGGCTGCCTCATGCATGACCCACACTGGGGATTGAGACTACAACCCGGGCATGTGCCCTGACTGGCAATTGAACCATGACCTCCTGGTTCATAGGTCAACACTCAACCACTGAGCTATGCTGGCCAGGCTCCCTCATTCTTTTTTACAGCTGCATAACACTTATATACTTACTTGTTTATAGATTCTGCTAAGTTGCCTTCTAAGTAACAGAGATTCATTTAGTTAATTTGCATTTTCTGATTACATGGGAGGAGGAACTGTGTTTTGTGGTTATTGACCATTTAAATTGCCTTTCAGGTGAGTTACTGCATTTTTTCTTGCCAATGTTATCAGTTGAGATTGTCCTTTATTTGATAAGGGAGAATTTGCTAAATATTCTGAAAGTTGCAAGTTTACTCTACTTTTCTTTTACTTTGTTTTTGGTGACTTCTATTTTATTAAAGATTAAAATTTAAATTACAGAAGTACTAGAGGCCCGGTGCACAGATTCATGCACTGGTGGGGTCCCTAGGCCTGGCCTGCGAGATTGTGCTGAAACTGGTAGTCCGACATCCCCCAAGGAGTCCTGGATTGCGAGAGGGTACAGGCCAATGAAGATACTGGGGCCCGATACTTTTGTTCTAAGTTATAAATTACTTACTCAGGGTTTTTTAAAATGGATAGAAGCCTATTCAAATTATCTATTTCTCCTTGTGTGAGTTTGGGTTCTTTGTATATTTCAAAGATTTGGCCTATATTAATTGTTATCAAGTTGGTGGACATAGATTTGTTCATAGATTGCAATATCCTTTTAATATCATGGGATTAGTTGTGATGATCCTACTTTCACTTCTAATATTGGTAATTTGTGCCTTTTCTCTTTTATTTATTAGCCTGTGTTAAATATATCAATTTTATTTGTCTTTTCCAAGAACCAGTTTTTGTTTTGTGTATTTTTCTCTGTTGTTTTTCTAGTTCCATTTCACTCATTTCTTCTTTTTTCTTATGTAGTGTGCTGTTTGCTTTTTTTTAAATAACAAAAACAAATTCAGAAAGCAATCAAAATGTGTTCATTCTTACACAAATGATTCTGGCTGGTGCGTACTTTTTATGCTAATTTATCAAATCAAGTTTTGCTTCTCTATCTGTGGTTAAATATACATCCCTAAGCAAGTAGAAATGTTAAAATAAGGATTACATCTTGGTGTTTATTTGAAATCAGGATTTTTCCATTCTGAATAGTTTCAGTAAGTGTATGTTATGATAGAATGTCTCTTTATCTACTTTAACTTGGTCTATGTTAAATTGATAAAATACAACCTTAGTCGTGCTTAAGAGTACATCTTTCATTATTCAAGTTAGTAAATAGGATATATCAACAAAAATGTCCAACAATGTAATTAAATCATTGCTACTTGAAATACTTTATACATGAATAATTTTACTCGTTATACTGTTGAAGCCTTGCATTTCAGTATATTCTACAACTTCTGTATCATCACCTGAAATTTACAGGCAGGCATTGAAGATACGTTAGCTGTTACAATAATGTTTATCCCCAAGTTTGATAAGCTACCTCTGAGTAAGCCACATGTAAATGCTAAATATTTAGACGCACGTTCTAAGTACTGTTTTCCTGCAGACATCTGAGTAAGCAGATGGAATTTATTGTTCTGAAGTACATAGATGCCCTGATGATTTGTCCTGAGACTGATGATTTGTTTCTTAAATACTGTAGTCCAAGAAATTTTTCCAAATGAAGTTCATGACATCTAACTCATACTTGAACCTCATGGCATCATTTGTAAACCTTTGTTCCTTGTCCCACTCGAAACCCCATGTTTTCCAGCTTAGTAATACAGCGTGCATTTTCCACCTTCCCCTGCTCTGCAGACTAGTACACTCCTGACACCATCTCTTTATGGTGAAGCAAAACAGCGCCTCCACCAAATTTATTTTTTAAATTTCTTTATTGGTTAAGGTATTACATAGGTGTCCTTAAATCTTGCTTATTTTTTTTATTATTATTAAACTAGGGGCCAAGTGCACGAAATTCGTGCACTGGGTGTGTGTGTGTGGGGGGGGAGTGTCCCTCAGCCCAGCCTGCCCCCTCTCACATACTGGGAGCCCTCAGGCGTTGACCCTCATCACCCTCCAATCGCAGGATCGGCCCCTTGCCCAGGCCTGACGCCTCATTTCCCCCCATCACTGGTTCTGCCCTCAGCCCAGGACTGATGCCTCTGGTCCAGGA